GATGTATGTGATTAAATATAATATAAAAATAATGAAATTTTTAAAAAGTTGTAAAAAATTTTAAAAGATATTTTTAAAATATAATTTTTTGTGAGGTTTTTGCTATAGGGTGTGTGTGCTCACCAGTAAGACAGAGAGAGGGACCAACAGTTAGCATAATGGCTATGTCGCTGGACTCCCATGTAGTCGACCGCGATTTGAGTCCCAGACCTGGTGGCTTAAACTCACGCCAGGCGCGTGTGCATGCGTGCCCAAGATCCCAAGAGGAGAATGGAAGAGAAGGGATTGCGGCGTGGCCATCACCCCTGGGGGGTGATTTCTTGCTTTCTGTCTCTCTGTCTCTCTCTGTCTGTCTGGCGAGTGCACACACCCTTTAGCGAAAACCTCTCAAAAAAAAAAAAAGAAAGAAAGAAAGAAAGAAAGAAAGCACCCCCAGGAGGGATGGCCACACCGTAATCCCTTCTCCTCTTCCCCATCTATCGATTCCTTGAACTTTTGGGATTTGTCTGAATTGAGCTAGCTAAGCGCCTTTTCTGAGAAATCCCCTCCTGGTTCCCAGGACTCTTGGTTCCCAGAGAAGGGGGGAAATGAAGGGGACTACTGCAAGCCAGGCTCCCCCCAGCTGTTTCTCTGACCTAAGTGTTGGGTCTAGGAAAATGATAGAGAAAGGGGCAGTGCTTGCTGAGCCAGGGGGTTGAGCCCCAGGGGCCCAAGATGTAGTCTGAGGGTCTTGGGCCTCCTCCCAAGGAAACGTCCCTTTAGCTCTGCTTGTTCCAAGGGAGGGACTAGTTCATAGAGCAGATGGGCAGGCATTGTGATGACCTGGGGAGACTGCTTCAGGTGTTTCAGGTTGTTCAGAGAGCATTAGCATTAGGGAGCCTTTACACCACTGGCCTCACCAGAGACAATGAGGGATAACCTAGGGAAGAAAGCACAGCTCCTTACTCTGGCCCCACAACCCTGTCTGTCACTTCTGAGTCCCTGTGGCTGATGAGGCAAATGCCACCAGTGAGATGAGAGTGTAAGCTCTTTTTCTGAAGCTGACAGTGCACAATTCCCTTGGCCAGACCTCAGACTACTTACATTCTCAGAGCTAAAGCCAAGGAAAGCAGGAGATGGGGAAATAGGGGGGACGGGGGCAGGCGTTGCCAGAAAGAGGGCAGCAGAGGGGAAATCTGCAGAGTGGGACATCTATGAAGGGGAATTTCTGGACAGAGAAAGTGAAAGCCCGGGCCATAAATAGAAGGCAGCCGCAGCCTCACACATGCAGTCACATTCCCAGACCCCTCGCAACCTGACAAGGACGCCAGTGTGCTTCCCATTGCTTCCTGCACACTCACGCAAACCGCAGCCTCGCGGAGACTCCTGGACTCATCCAGACTCGGGCTCACGCTCACTGTCGGTCTGCCTCTGTGCACCCTCCATGGCACCCTGTACAGCCCCACTACTGGCCCTCAGCCTGTTGGTTCTCTGGATTTTCCCAGGTAAGGCAGAAGAGAAGGTGAGGTGAGAGGAAGAGGGGAACAAGTCTCCATCACAGGCTGCTTGGTACTCAGCATGCGAGTAATGCTGAAAGTTTGGGTGAATACTTAGTTCTGCAGGTTTTGGTGACCCTGAGTCCTGGTGTGTGCCTGAGTGTAGCGTGTCTGGGCCCCTGGGTTCCAAGGTGGCTCTGTCTCTTAGTGTATCGTAAAGCCTATGGCTGCCCCTCTCTCTGCAGGCTCTGTTTCCTGCTGCCTCCGTTTCCCAGGCAGAGGGAGAGAACAGTAAAAATGTATTTGCTTAAGACAGGGAGAACAAGAGACGCTGAAGTGGGTCTGATAGCCAAAATGTTTGAGAGATTTTTGCTATAGGGAAAATATTTAGCAATTCACAAGACCCCTAACACCAGCCTCCCTTCACCATTCCCCAGCGCTGTGATCAGCATTAACTCCTTATTTACTGGATTGTGGGGAAGTTGAAATGTCCTAGGAAAGATGTTGGGGTGATCAGAACAGCAGGAAGGTATTTATGGGCCTCGTGGCATGGTTGTTTACCAAACAGCTTAGAAGTATTATAATAGTCCAGCTGCAACAGTGCAAGGAGTAAAACACTGATATAATAGGGTTTTAGAGTTTAATTCCGGGTCCAGCCCAAAAACCAGCTGAGCACTGTGGCTTGAGCATAGAAATGTTACATTATTTTTTAGCTACGAGTTGGGTCATACTGATGCCTACTGTCTGAATATCAAGTCTGGTTATCCCACACACAGTGCTCTTAACCTCAGTAAGGCTCTGGCCGCCCATCCTCAGGGTCCCTATGTCCTGACACCTTCTTTCCCCTATCCCAGCCCCAGCTGTGGGGGGTGCAAATGATGCTGAAGACTGCTGCCTGTCTGTGACCCAACTCCCCATCCCTGGGCACATCGTGAGAGCCTTCCGCTATCTCCTCATCAAGGATGGCTGCAGGGTGCCTGCCGTTGTGTAAGTTGTGGGGAGCTTGTCTAGCTCCATCTCCCCAATCAGCCCCTGGTGATACCCCCACCTCCTTATCCCTCTTTTCCTTGCCAAGCCCAACACCTTCAAGGAAACCCCTATAACAGATTCCCAGACGTGGTCCCTAGTTTCTCCCCCTTACACCAGCCTTCCAGCTGAGTTCCAAGGCTCCATTCTCTGTGACCTCTGACTCTAGGTTCACCACACTGAGGGACCGCCAGCTCTGTGCACCCCTAAACCAGCCCTGGGTGAACCGCATCATCCGGAGACTGCAGAAGAACTCTAGTAAGGTAAGCCTGGCTCTCCCCGACCCTACCTCCTCCCTCTGAGCCCTCATCTCTGATTCCAGCCATGACTCTGTCTCTCCTTCCTCCTCTAGACCAAGCACCACAGCAGTTAGCCCGTGACAGCAACAGAGGGAGCCCTGTGTCTGGGTGAAGATGTAATCACTCTGGCCCGGGAAACTGACGTCCAAAAGGAAGACCCAGGCCTCCAGCTCCTCAGCACCAGACCTGACCCAGCCGGGCAGGGCCTGGTGTGTGAATGTGAATGTGAGCAAGAGAGTGCAGAAAGCACACTTTTGTCCAGATTGCAAAGCTTCCAATAAAGCCACCTGGCACCCATGGATCTGATACGGTCTGTTTGCTATCCACCCAGGAATTGGAAGTAGGGAGATAGAATAGCAGGATCTATTTTCTGCTCTGGGGGCTTAAGCAATCTCCTCATCAACTCCACCTCACCCTGATGTTTTCAAGACCAGCCTCCATAATTAAGGCCTCACCTCATGCCTCCTTACAGCCCTCCACAGTTCACTGTACTGTGTCACTTTCCCAAACAAGCCAGAGTCTCACATGTTTTCCTATCTTTGTTCTCCAAGACAGGTGTTCAAGCATCCAGGTGTCTCAGGGCTCCTGTGTCACTAAGAGGAAGGGAATTATTGGGAACCAGCTCTCCCTTCCCTCAGGGGAGAGCACAGGGCCCAACTCCACTGCCAAGGGAGAAAGTACCCACCCACCCATACCATTCTCTCCATCTGGCACATCTTCTCCTCCTCTGTCCCCCTGGCTTCCTATCTGGGTCTAGATGTCTCTTCCTCCAAGAAGCCTTCCCTGCTACCAGGCTGGGTTAGGTAACCTTCTTCCCTCCTAAGCTCCCAGGACCCCCTGTACCTCTCTCCTGACAGTGTTCATCACAATGACTTATACTCTCTAGTTTGTCCATCTTCCTAGATAGGGATCATGTCTATTTTTACTTCTATCATCCCCTTGGTGTCCAGCACAGTGCCTAGGGCAAGGTAGTCATTCAATAAATATTTGCTTAGAAAACAAATAAATATGCGAGGAAAGGCTTGGCAGCCAGGGGCGAGGGCCCATCTGTCCGTTCTGTCCATGTAGAATCTGATCCCAGGCCAGCCCTCTTCATTCACTCAATCAATCAGAGGAAGTTTCAGCCCCATCTAGACAATTCTGGGACCAATCTCAGGGATACCGACAGACAGATCTGGGAGCCAGAGGTCAGAGACCGGGGAGAGGCCTGCAGGATGGACGATGGAGCAGGTGAAGAGCTCGAGAGATTCAGCATGGTCAAACTCCACCACCACCTTGCAATCCATATGGTCTCTAGGGTTCAAAGGCAACACTGAGGCCAGAGGAGTCCCGGGGAAGAAGTCTCAGCTCTTGGGGACGAAAGTCTCATGACTCTTGCAGCTTCCCATAGTGCTGTTCTACAAGGAGTGAGCTCCTTGTACTTGGGAAGTCCCTAGGGGAACTTGGCTGGCCTCCAAACTGTAGCCTCTAAGGGTGACAAGTCTATGCCTCTGGAGTCAGATGGAGTTAGACAGCTAGACTGACCATCCTTGTCTGGAAAGGGAAGCCATCATCATACCAGATATGCATGGGCAGGCCTGGACAGGCCTTGGAAGAGAGCAGCAATGAGAAGGCTGTGCCATCTCCTTCTCACGAGGCTAAGAGTATGACAGCCTTTTCCTCTCCTTTGCCCCCAGAAGCAGGTGTTCAAAATCTCAGGTATCCCAAATCTCAGAGTCACAAGGGTTGGGTATAGTTTTCAAGACCAGCTATTATGACTGGGAAGTTTGGCTCTGCTGTCTGAAGAAAACCACCCATCTATTCATGCACCCATGCATTCATCCATCCAGCTGTCCTCCCACCCATTAGCCCTCCATCTAACCATCCATCCATCCACCCATCCATCCATTAGTTCACCCATCAAGCCAACCAGTCATCGGTTTCTAGATTGTCCATCTGTGGAGCCCTGCACTCCAGCAAGCAGAGGACAAACATACCTGTGAGGAGAGCCTCAAATTGCCTCAAACCCTTCTCAGTTTCAGGGAAAACAAAAGTAAGTCAGTTGCCACAGAAGCAGATTAAAAAAAAAAAAAAAAAAAACAAAACAAACAAACAAACAAAAAAAAAACCCTCCCTCTGCACCTTCGAGGGAACAGAGAGTAGAGAAGGTGAAGGCAGGGGCCCTGAAAGAGGACAGAAACCCAGGGACATTACCTCCATGACACCACCCCCAGACGGTACAAGAGCAAGTCGGGAACTCAATGCCCAGCCCGAGTCCCACAGTGCTGTGCCTGCCCCACATACACCCCACCATGTCCTCCCACAGGTCTCTGTGTGGCTTCGGGCAAGTTCCTTTTCTACTTGCCAGCCTAAGGCTTCAGTTCCCCACTCTCTGAGAGGAGGGGTGAGGAGCTTGATTTTTGAGAATCCTTCCAAACAAAGATTTGGTTCCTGAATCTTTGGCTCTTACATAAACCTCCAGCATTTGCACAGGCATCCCCAAAGTTATTCACATCCAGAAACTGTCCTACTTCCTGGGGCCCCAGAGGCTGCCCACTGGGAACAAAGGGGAAGCTGAGGTTCAGGAAGAGAGATGATAACCCACGAGCTAATGAGTTTCTTGGATCAAACAGCCCTCTGCTGGACCTTGGAAGCCTGGAGAATGATGAATTTGAAGGAAGTCTGAGGAAATGGTTGCCAGAGCCCCACAGGGAGTAAGCATGTCACTCTCCCCACCCCTTCTCTGGATAATACCTTTCATCCTAGTTTCTCTTCCTATTCTTCCCACTCCCCAACCATACTAGCCCTCTAGGCACTAGGTCTTATTTAATCCTTATTTTCCTGCTAGACACATACAGTTATCCCTGCTTATCCATGGTTTCGCTTTATACAATTTCAGTTACTCACGATCAACTGTGATCCAAAAATATTGTGTAAAATCCCAGAAATAAACAATTTGAGACCAATCCATGGCCTCATGATTAAGGAGCTGGATCCCACATGGTCAACCACATGGGTCAAAGTCCCAGACCTGATGGCTTGAAAAAACACACGAGGGGGCCAGTGGGTAGCATAGTGGTTAGGACGCTAGACTCCCATGTGGCTAACTGTGGTTCAAGCCCCAGACCTGGAGACTTGCTTTCTCTCTCTCTCTCTTTCTCTGCATTTCCCTCTCTCTGTCTCTCTCTGGTGAGTGTGTATGTCCTATTGCAGGCTAGAAAATAACAATAATAATAAGTAAAAATTAAATTTTAAAAAGAAAAAACACACCAATTGCATGTGCATGCATACCCCAAATCCCAAAAGGACGGAGAGGAGAAGAGATTGCAAGGTGACTATTATCCAAGAAGGGTACTTTCTCACTTTTCCTCTTTCTGTCTCTGTCTCTCTCCAGCAAGTGCATGACCCTCTGGCAAATTTTTTTTAAAATTTCTAAGTTTTAGGGGCAGCAGGTGGCATGGTGGTTCAGGGCCCTGGACTTCCACATGGCCAACACGGTTCAAGCTCTGGACCTGAAGACTTCCTTTCACACTTTCTCTCTCTCTCACTCTTTCTCTCTCTGGTCAAATTAAAATAAATAAATAAAATTAAATAAAATAATTCTTTAAAACAAAATTATTAAGTTTTAAATCATGCACCATTCTAAGAATTATGATGAAATCTTTTTAAAAATTTATTTAATTTTATTTATTCATTCATTTATTTTAATTTGACCAGAGAGAGGCAGAGAGAGAGAAAGTGAGAAAGCAAGCCACCAGGTCCAGGATTCGAACCATGGTTGGCTATGTGGGAGTGTCCAGCACCTTAACCACCATGCCACCTGCTGGTGCCCGTGATGAAATCTTGCACCATCCAGCTCCATCCTCCTGACACGTGCATTATTTTCTCATCAGCCCACTCACGCTGTATATACGACTTGACCATTAGTCATTTAGCAGCTAGCTCTATTATCAAATCAAAAAATATAGCAGATGGGCCAGCGGCATGGTGGTTAAGGTTGCTGGGTCCCACATGGCTGACCTGGCTGACGTGGCTGACTGCACAGTTTGAGTCCCAGACCAAGTGGCTTGAAAAAAATGCTGGGCATGCCCAAAATCCTCAGAAGAAAATGGAGGAGAAGGTCCCCCCGCCCCCCGCACCCCGGAGTGCTTTCTCACTTTCCCTCTCTCTCTTTTTCAAAAACACACACCCTACAGAAATGTTTTTTTAATTAAAAAATAAATAAATAAAACATCGTATATAAAGAGTTTGGTATGTTGGGCTTTTATCCCCCCTAAGTAAAAGGGGACTACGGTAAACATAATCTGAAGCTTGCCCTGTCCCACTCAAACATTCTCAGCCCTGTGACTCCATCGAATCAATATCTGCTTCCTGGTTCACTGACTCAGAGGAGTGTTGCGACTCCATTTACCCTAGGTTCTGGTGGACCAAGACCGTCCCACCTATCTCTATGATGAGGCTTACAGTTCTCTAAGGGGTGTCATGGACTCCTGGCCCCCCAACCAAAATAAGGAGGTCTTGCTGCCTGCCTCTAGGTGTCTACCTTCCTCTCTAGGTCATATGGCTCCAGGTTCAAGGCCTGCAGCTGAGTAGTACCACCTGCCTGTGGTCCCAGCAGTCAACAACACCTCCTGAACGACCTGACATCCCTTCTCAGAAAGCTCCCAGCTGTTTTTGGACAAAAATCTCCCTGTCCTGTGTCTTGAGAGAATTTCCAGGGAAAGGGATTGGGCCTTGTCCATCTCCATTGCCAATAAGCTCTGCATAGGGGATGACACAGAATAACCCCCAATACACACTTGATTAACAACAACAACAACAAAAAAAAACGGACTTTAACATGGCACTTTCCCACTATCATATCCCGCCTCCCCCACCACACACACACACACACACACACACACACACACCTGGAGCACATCCAGTTCTCAAGTTAATCAAGACAGGCTCTGCTGTGTGGTTGAGTGGCGACAAACCAACCCCATACGGTTTTGATCTTATTTTGATCATCTCATGTGTAACTTCTCGGCAAGCCCCCACCCTATGTCACCCGCTTCTACCCTCTGGGAAACTCAGAAACAGCCAGAAAAACTAGGAAATAACAGTCTCATAAATTTGTTGGACTCCCAAGTCGGGAGTTTCCTCTAAGAGCCCCTTTGTAAAAATTAGCAGGCACTTCATTCAGAAAATTTCCTTGATGGCCCCTGAGACTGTCCGCTTGGAAGGAAGTGGCTCTATAGTACTAGTTAACTCATTGCTAGTGCTTACTAGGTGCTGGGTGTTGCTTTAAGTACCATTATTGTTACTATACTATGGATGAGAAAACT